TACACCAAACAACATAGAAGACGACAACCACCCCAGAACCCAAGCTGTAAAAGAAATCTAAAGCAAATTAGAAGAAGGTACCTGATGACTTTTGAAAGCTCAGAAGAAAAGACCTGTAGGTAACTAGTCTCTTCTAAATCATTCAGCCACAGTGAGCAGAGTTACTTACGGCGTTGATCGCACTCGGGCACCCTATTAGCAGATTAGCTGCTCCTTAAGAAAGGAACATGAAACTATTAACCGGTCTTGCCGTCACAGTCATTTTGGATCATTAACGGCTCTTGTGTCCAATTGAAAGTGACAATTCGGACGCAGGAGAAACTCGAACACAATGGGATAGCCAGTTTGGTCTGACGAAGTGGACAATTGGGGAGCAAATTATAAGGCATGTACATGTACATGTACATGTGCAAATGGAACGCAGGCATCTTTCACAAGCCGTGGCTCAATCAAAGGTCCGAATATGGGTTTACATGTACTCAGTCGACTGCGTGTCTGCAGGTTCACTGTATGTAACTAATATTCAGCAGGATATCTCAGAAAAAGACTAAAGTATCTCCCGTTAGATCTGCATTGCTTCTATGGCAATTTGGTTCAAACATTTTCTCAACGTTCCTTTGTAATTTGTTATACATTCGTTATACACCATTCTGCGGTTGGATACATTTCTCATTGATAAAAACGACCACACCTAGCTCCAAGTTGCTCTACTGGCTTATTTCTGGACCACTGACAATGTCTATTTATAAATCGGTGGACCACTTTAGAAAAATACTCTAAAATAATAAGTCAAACTTGAAAGTTGCATCATGATTCACCGATTTACGCCCATGTTAGAAAGTTAACAGAACAATTAGAAATACACTTATTAGAAATGCAGTTGTAAAATTCGTACAATTTTATCATTACTTTAGTATTGTACAGTCAAATTGATCAAACATAATTCATAAACAGAAATGAACAGTCCAGCCGACAATTGTTGAGACATAGCAATCATGCCGTCGTCTTTCCTAGAGACTGCAGTTTTATGTTTTGAAGTGTTTGAACGTCCAGACAGCAGCATAAGTAAATACACATTTGTTTCATTCTTTTCAGATAGCGGGGAGGAGAGGGCTTTGAGATGGACCGAGGGCTTTGAGATGGGCTTTGAGATGGCAAGATCGATCACAATTCACATTAGTACATTCATTCATCATAAGTACGCCCAACTCAACTTGATCATTGTTTTCAGAGTGATGTTTCCTCTTCAGAGGCGTAGCAAGGTCATTTGTATGGGGAGGGGGGGGGTAACACTTCGTGAAAAGGGCACTCGCACATCCGTGCTGAAACGTAGACAGGTGTAGACACTTGGCCTCCGTAAAATCAAACAGTTTGGGGGGGGGGGGGGGGGCAGGTACCATATAGCAGCTGATGCTATATGCCTTAAAATCTAATTTATAAAGGTGAACATTTGTTTTGGTCAACACTGCAAATAAGAGCTTCTTCCACTTTTCATGTGTCATTCTAACTACACGAGGTACAGGGGACAAATCCTCATGATTGAAGAACTGTAATGAAATTAGTTTTTCAAATCATAGTGATAGAATGTTATAGTATACAGACCGCAAAACAACATGTGCTACTCTTTTGAATCGTGTATTATCAGTCGAGTGCCAAGTGTTGTAGAACTTTGTATACTAGTACTCGAATCACGCCAAAATACCCCCACCACCCCTAAAATCATAAATCTCGAATGTAGCACAAAAAAAACTACACCGTACTGGTACTGCTGTGTGCTGTTCCGGTGCTGACATAGTCGGTTGTTTAATTGTAGGGTCCCCTCAAATGCCCTGGACCACCAGAACAGGAGCACGTTCACGGGATAAAATGCCTATGGTTTTATTATATTGTTACACGTTCTTGAAACACTGACCTGAACATTCCTGCCGTAATGTTCAGCCGCTCTGAGGTGGAATTGCCTCAAGGCCAAGGGGATGGCAAGAATTGGCAACACCGCACGGGGCAACTCAGACACATATCAACCCATCAAGTTCAGCGTGACGTTGAGCTGGGTCGTCGCTTGTTCACACTAGGTCATACCAGGTGCCTATTTGGTAACAACGTTTCAAATTCGATAAGCTTGTCCTTTAGGACCCAGAGATATACAATGGATCAGATCATTCTGTGCAGTCATCAAAGCGCAAGACCGCAAGTAAGACAATTTGTTGGAAAATGGTGATTTGTTAATACTTTCAAATCGATATTGCCGCACACTATGGCCCATGGGCGTCGCCAGGATTTTTCTAGAGGGGACAAAACATATTTTTACCCAAAACATCCTGTATTTCTCAACATTTTCTCGAATTATCAGTTTTAGAGGGGGGCAGGGACATTTTGCCCCCCCCCCCACCCATTAAATTTACACCACTATGACTTTTTTTCTCTTCCTTTTTCCCCGCTTTTCCGCCCCCCCCCCTCGCGACGCCCATGCTATGGCCTACATGGCCCACTTTGTTTAAGTTGACGGGGAGACACACACGAGCTGAAAAATAGGACATCAAACGAAAAACTAATTGAAGCCTGTCTATATATTCATTGCTTTACACATGAACCACCCCAACAGGGCGAGTCAAAGAAGCGGGCTGCACCGAGCCTGGCTGGGGTGATTGCCCTATCATTCTACACCGCCAGATAACTCCAACCTTGACCCGGAAATGCACCCTCTCCCTTGTCAGGTCATGACCTAATATTTGACCTCCTTGGTTACCCCCCAAACAACCCGTGATGTCCTCCCTCTAACACATCACTTCTCGGGTCGTCTTATTATCAAGGCCACAGTCATAACAGACCTACCACAGTTCTGGCCGTTCGTGAACTGCACATTGCTTCCACTTCTAATTACCGACTTCTCACATAGTACTGCGCAGGGAAAAACCGAAAAGGCCCTTGGACACTAAGCGGGTAATCGTGGGAATTTCCACCGTTCCGGAATGGAGCGACAATATGGGACTTGGAGAAGTCTGAAGTCTTGACCTACCATTACTTTTGTCATTCACTGTAGGCTAACCCCGAGACTGAATGTTTATTTTCCAAGGTCAAATATAATTAAAGAGACACTACGTACCGGAAAGCGTCAATTTGGACTACGAAACGCGTTTTTAACGAACTGACATTTAGAAAGAGCATTCAAAAGTACAATACTTACTCAACCATCCTTTAAAAAAATTGTCGTTTTTGTGTTTTTCTTGCGAGAACGAATTTCGGGGGTCAAAATGTTGACTCTCAAAAATGGAGCTGTTTGGGTGCAAGTCGTGATTCCAGTCGCACATATCTGGGTTTGGTAAGACAAACACACGTCTTATGAAGGTCACGTGGACTACTCATCAGCTTTTCCGATGATACTTTTATTTGCACGGAGAAAGCGGTATGTTTGTCAGTTACTTTTTATCTTCGTAGGTAATTGGATTATCCTCAAATGACCTACCAAGCTCCAAGGCAAATGGAAAATATCAATAGTCACCTTATAGACACGCATTCAACCACGGAGACTATATACAAGTTCAATGATGTTGTAAGTGCATCCACCATTGTCATTTTTCGTACAAAGAACACTTGACAAAGGGATTTCTTCTCAACCTAGTTCACGCAGGACAAGAGTAAGGTACTAAAACTCAAGTACTCCACAAGAAGACGTTTCCATCATTTCAAAAGGATTGAACCTCATTCCACCGGAATTTCCCTCGAAAATTCACCACCCGCCTCACTGCAAAACCTTTTAGCAATTAAACACTTTTCTAAACACTTTCTTGCTATCACTTTTTAAACACAACTGCCTTGAAACACTGGATAGTCTTTCCATTGTTACAAGTTCTCACTAACGACTGAGACCCCGACTAAGTGACTTTTTAGTTGGTAATTTCACAATCCCACTAATCACGTTTGATTGTGTACTGTGTAATGAATAATGTGTAGAGGATGAATACAATATATTTGGACAGACTCCGCTAAGTCGACCTTGTATACCAAGACAAAAAGTGATGTAATGCTGGAAAACTCTGAGGTATGAGCGAAAACAATTTCAAGTATTCTTTGTTACAAGCTATGAATAGCTTCATGAAATCATCATCAGACACTTTATTTTGTTTTATACAATCACATTATTAGGGAACGGTTAGACCTGAAATATATCCAAATCTCACTAACACTATAACAATGTGGTTAAAATTAATTGGATATGTCAATAGTCATGACTCAGATGATACATGTCTGCTAGATCTTTAAATCAAGATATTTTTGGACCGATCTTCGCATGGATGCGCCAAAACCCGACCAGTATTACTTTCTTCCCAACAGGGCAAACAATTTTCTCAATGAAAAGCAGCTGACATTGTGATGAGATCTATATTAAGTGTCCTCCAAATTGACATAAATTCAATTAAGATATCAGGTCTGGAATTCGGAAACAAGTCTGTCCATCAGTGCTAGGCTGTCACCATCTGTTTCCAACATTTAACGGCAGATACAAATATTTCCAAAGTTCAGGCGCATGATGGGCAGTCTCGTCTGGTCTAACTCTGATCAAAATCAGAAATCGGGCAAAGCCTAAGTCAACTTACAACCGGACCATGGCCTTGTAAATTAATGAATTTGATAAAATCACCCCGATCAATCTAGTTTCAAGCATGATTTCACGATTCACATCCATCTAATTAGATTATTGAAAATATGCAAGCCAGCTTCTACACTACTAGTACTACAATACTTGTGATGAACGAAAATGGTTTCTTTTCGATATACATGTATAGGCATACGATGTCCAAGATATGATTTAATTATAACAATGTTTTCTGTCGATAACTAATACCCATCGCAGAGCTGTATCTCCATATCATCACTCAGGACAGAATTCCTATCACAATTTCCAAGTACATGTACTGTTAGTGTTAAGTAAAATTGCAAAATAGGCCTACTTAATCTGAAAAGTACCTTATGCAAGACATAGAAAATGAACAGAAACTTACGGTATGGTAGTTCTGTTGCCAGCTCCCCCGTGCACCCACGCAGACACCCAAGAAGGGATGCAAGTAGAACTGCTCTACCAGCAACACTCGTCATGGCTTCAACTTCAGGGAGTCCCTTCCCTTACTGAGTGTCGTCTTCTGCCAATCAGTAAGACCGCTGTTGACGATGAGGAACGACGAACGAATGGAATTGAAACGCGAGCAAGCCCACCAGATATAGCTGGGACTTTTATAATGTATACACTGCAACCCCTCCTATAACGTTCCACCGCCACCGGCGAATGTTGTGCGCTGAAGCGAATAAGCAGCGCACGATCCGCCTCCCACGTGTGTAAGCAACTCTTGCTCTATTCTATTTTGTCTTGTCCTAATTCCTTTCTTATTATCAAACACTCCAAACTGCCAATTTTCTTTGCTCTTTCGGTCGGTTTCCAAGGCAGCTGTGATTTATTTTACGTCACTAATCAATAATGATAGTTTTCGCTCTCTAACCGAACTCCGTCAGTTGCAGAGTTAAAAAAGAAATTCTGCCTTGACGACTAATGAGTTTCGGCGAATTCTGACGGCTGGTTCCACTTCATCAAGCCCTGGCCTAGGTACACCGTGCACAGCGTAAATATTGCGGTTTATTTCAGCGATCGGAAGACCTGCATTTGACGGGTGAAACTCGGGACATATTCACATGCCACCGTAAACTGAATACACTTGTAGCATTTGCTAGATCACGCCAGGCATGTTAGGTAAATAATACTACGGGTCCAGGTTAACAAAACATACCAGTGGTTCTCACGCCTTCAACTTGAAGAAGTCACACTCAAGAGTTCGAGAAACTTTGATCTGATGTCAGTTTTAACACGTTTTTATCCACGTCAGAAAGTTTATTTCCACGGCGGATACATTGTTAAACCATGTAGGTAGGGTGGTTAAACATACACCTCATATCATTGCTACAACTGAAATCCAGTCACAGTAAAACATTCTTATTATTCCTCCATGCAGCAACGGAGACACGTTTTGCTCGGAATAATGTGGATTCGGGTCAAGTCTCAAATACGTAGATGTATAAAAACGCGACAGTAGTCAACTGGTAGACAGGAGAGGTCACTTGGTGTCCTTGTTACACGGCTATATCAAGCCGATACAGCTACGTAAACTCCAGCACAGCTTGTCAGCCGACTCGCCTTGAAGAAAATCCAAGTCAACAAACTCTAGCTACTTCTCGCCGCGTATAGCAGTACGGTCGCAGACAGCGTTTACGGGCTATGAGTCGATGACCTACTTCCTATACATCCACGCGGAAAAAATCTTACGCGGTAGTTATCGGGATATATTATACGGTGACACAGACACAGTCAGCAAGACACTGAACGATGACTGAAACCATCTCACACATGAATAAGCCCTAAGCCAGGTGTCGACTAAAATATTGTCCAGGTCTTGAGGGAAAAGTTTCTGAACAATCCGTCGATGAAGTTCGTGACTTCTCTTCGTGGTAAATTGAAGGTGTTTGTTCGATAGCTGGCCTGTAATCGTTGAGCATGGAAGCAACCACCCGCGATCAGTGTGATTGTTCATAAGGGGCCTCAACTGAAGCTCGGAGGATATAATCACATGATGATCTTCAGTGTTTTCTTGAAACACCACCCCCAATGTTGTCAGCGGCGAGTTAAGTAAGTAAACTCAGCGGTTCCCCTTGAGATTCCAGCCGTCTGATACCCTCAAGGAACTGACGCAGCCCACCTGGACTCAGAGTGTACGGTCAATCTTATAACCTACAGGGAAATGAAGGGGGGGGGGGTTAAGAAATACCTGCGTGTCCCTTTCAAGTTGCCTGCAGCAGATTCCGACGCTGCTGCTGATGACGCCTCGTACTCATACCCAACTAATGCCGTAATCATGCGTGACCGCTGTATTCAGGCGAACCACGGGAAAGAATAAAAAGTTCACTCATAATTTAACCCGGTTCTTAATTGAAACTTCCGACACGTAAACTTTATCGCGATGACCTAGGGTACGGGTACTACCGTGGTGTGGGGCTGGCGTGCTCTATGCTGTTCCTTAACTTTGTCAGTGAAAGCACGCTTCACAAAGCTCATGAACATGCACCGACTAAGCTACTGAAAGTTGGTAATATTTTGATGACGGGCCATCACCGCCCATAGGTGATCACCAATGTCAACAAGACGTTGAAAGACTTATATGCGGGTCTTCTTTTGCCTTCTCTCGATGCCGACCGACGCCCGCGGCCTCCGAATACAACACGGGTCTGGGTATCCTTGGCACAGATAGAAAAAGTCACAAGCCTGCATTTATACCGTCCCTTCGGAAATCTTTTCTTACGAGTGCAACAAGGAAAGCCGTAATGGGGGGTTTCTCTGGAGAAAGCGATCGCTCAAGCGGCGCCTAATGCGACCCGCTGTGGTATGAATACGGTCCAATCTCGTCTCTGTCTTATGGCTTTAGAAGTGAACAAGGGTATGAATAATACCATGTATACACAGAATACACATGGACGGTGTAGCATTTCGCATTATTGTGCAAACTGCTACAAATGGAATAATACGGGGATTAAGGGACTGGTGGCGTGTTTGCAACACACGATCGGACGCGAGTGACCACCAGGGGCTGTGATGACCACCGTGGATGTGCTGGACATCCCTCTATCTCGCTGGCCTTGCCATTGGCGCTATCGTAGAAGAAAATAGCACGGGGGACTGGTGAAGGGGGGGGGGGGGGGGGGGGGGGGTTCTTTGACCCCTACTCAACTCCATCAGCATTTAGAGAACTCGTAAAACTGCCAGCATATCCCTTGAGAGTGAGTTACGATTGTTAATCGAGGTTGTTGAACCATCTCCCAAAATTATTAATATCCAATAATTTAGTATTGATATGACCCAATAAATTAGCATTGATATGACCAGTGTTCATTTTTTCTAACATGCAAATGGTTTGTATGTATCCCCCTCAATTAACACCTGCCGAAACAGATTGAAACAACTAGTACTGCTGAAGCTCAACTACAAACACATTTTCAATAATACTCGTCATTTCTCTTGTAGGAGCGATACGACCCCCCCCCCTTGTTAAAGCAGCCGGTACCGGCTGCGCGCACATTAGTTTGACATAGAATTCCTCGGGACCGAGTGCCAAAGTTCCCAAGACTGAAGTTGATGCATCTTTTAGATAGCGCCCTCTACCGTGACTGCCATGACAGCTTGACCACGCTTGCCAATCTCAAAATATCTGACAAAGACTACGGAAAGAATGACTGTGGTATACCTACTTCTATAATAAAGGGCTTACAATTTGATTACAATTTGAAATGAATAAATAGAACCAATTCCATCTTAAAACAGTGAATTAAATACCGGTATTAAATTATGACTCAATTATTCCTAACACCAACAAGCAAACACGAAACAAACAACTGAATCGAAGCTGAGAACATTTTGCATCGATATTTTTTTGGGTACAGTCAATATAAACGCCACACCAATTGTGAAATACCGAAATTGAAATTTGTTTACCACACGTACACCTGTACCCCGACGACGGTTTGTACCGGATATCCTTGTTCACATACTGTCGGCTGTGGTCACTTCGTTCAGGCGGCCCAGGTGCACCTGCTAAAGTAATTTGCTACCTCCGCAAGCTAAATGTACATGGGTCACAACTGGCAACTATGCGAAGGATCTAAAGGGATGCTTGGTTTAGGCGAGTTATGTGAAGTATAATGTTCCTGTTATACCCCTCACTTGTCAAAGCCGCGTCTTGTGATTTTCACGGCTGAACTTTTTGGTGGAATTTCGCGTAACAATTAATTAATGTACGAGGACTGGTGGGAATTGAGTGAGATGAACCCCAATAGTCTATATAGCTTTAAGGGCTGAGGCATGCCGTGGGATGGAGGGCGCAAAAACAGGTCAAAAATACAAATATAATTGACGTGCAATCAGTCATCTACCGGTTCGTGAATTGAAAAAAAAAGCACTGCGTTACAAAATCGATGTACGGAAGCTTTTTTCCTTTGCCTTTTTATCATTTTGGACCCGTGTAATTGAAGCTGCAGTTGGGGATTAAAATCATTTGCCCTTGAGCATTGAACTGAGTTGCTATGATGACTGACAGCCAGTGTTGTAGTACTCGTACTCGGTACTCGTACGTTTTTGTAGTACTCGTACTCGTACTGGTACTCGAATGTCAAAGTACTCGTACTCGAAATGACGGTACTCGTACTCGGGTAGCCTTGTTCAATGCGGTCTCTCGGCTTTTTGTCGAAGGGAGATAATCGGGCCCTGCACCACAATCAACGCGGCTACGTGCGTGTACCGCCGACCCTTGTCCGTGCGTGTACCGTACCACCGACCCTTGTGCGTACGAACGGTTTGGTACTAACACAACCAGCAAGCACAAACACGTGAGTACGGACTGTACGCATGGTGTAATAAGGCAGTAAATGTAGGCCTACTATGTTCTGCGTGTGGGTACGTACGTACGTACGTGTGGGGGATATACGCGCCGCGTGGCCTGTCGAACGCGGACTAGCTCATGCATGTACATGTACTGTGTGTGCATGGCTGTTGTACGAGTGGGTGTGTGTACATGTACGTGCGTACGTACATGTACAAGCATAGCCTCTCGCTGTACAAGTTACTTTCTCACTAGCAGCGTACGGACATCATTATGTGCACGCAATTATGCCTTGCCAAGTTGATTAGGGATTTTCTTATAGGCGATTTTTTTTTTATCGGCGAATCGATAAGCCCAACGCCTTGGTCAAGGCTAGTACTCGGGTAGCAAAGTACTCGTACTCGACATGTCGAAATTGTACTCGACCATCAAGGTACTCGTACTCAAAAAGCAGTACTCGGGGGGGGGGGGGGGGGGGAATGGTACAGCTTGACTTACCACGGCCTTATTTTATCAGTTTGAAATGGTTGATTGGCTTGTGGAGAAATCAAAGTTTCATGATTTTTCTCTGTGCATGTCCGGACAACACATTTAACAGCTAGCCGTGAGTGAGTCTGTATATCGGTCTGACTGGGCCTGGGCCAATTATACACAATAAACCATTTGCCGTATGGCCGTATTCGGAAATACAAGTACTCTTACTCGTACTCGGAAGTACAAGTACTCGTACTTGTACTCGTACTCGGAAGTACCAGTACTCGTACTCGGAGACCTGTTCTTGTAATCGGAGGTACAAGTACTCGTACTCGTCAACCTAAGTACTCGGCAGTACTCGCCAGGTAAACGATTCCAATCATCATCGCGAGAGGGGGGGGGGGACAAGGGGGCGCTTGCCTCCCCCCCCCCCCCCCGGAAAAATAAAGAGGGGGGGATTGATAAATATAATGAAAAAGTTAAGACATTTTTGGGAAAAATTTGCTTTGCCCCCCCCCCCCCTGGAAAAATCCTGGCGACGCCCATGATTCCAATCCCCAATTGAAGCCCTTTTTCACAACATGAAGGATTTTACACAGTTTACATAAACAACTTCTTACATCTTTGGTGTGGAGCAGTGGAGTCCATCGCTTGACCTAGTCTATATAATATCATCAAGGGGTCGACACAATATCACCAACATTACCTGCAGCTGAAACCACCTTGTTCAAGAAAGGGACACGACATGCAATTTCAGATTCCGTCCATATACAAATCAGCACACATATTCATTCTTCATGAGAACAACCCTCGATAGGAACAGCTAACCATCTGAAACAACCACGCAAAGCTTCATTCAAGCCCCACCAGTAAAATCTCCCCTTAAGAAACTGCTCACCGACGCACCTCCTGTTAAAATTCCCACGAGGAAGTATCATGGAGGAAACCCCAACAAGATAACAAAGTAATTAAAAGGCAAGGGAAATTGAACAACACTCATTATAGGGGTTTGGGGTTTAGGCCAATGATAAGGAGTATCTGCACAACTAAAATTTTTCAAAATTTACTTCGTGGATTTATTTTAAAAAAAATTAGACGGACACTTTTTGTGTGACATAATACAATAGGAAGGAATTGTGATAATATTGTAACAAAAAAACGTACGGAGTGGAAAGATATACATGTATATACATGTATATAACAAAATCTAAGTTCCTCAATATACAGTAACTATATACACCTATGTGTATATTATTGACCACCTTTATTCGAATAATGCATTGCTTCACTGACTGAACTGATCCAAATTAACTAAAGCTACTACAAGTATTACAGTAATCATAATCATCGCTGAACTAATTTGAATTGGGGGTGCATGGCTAGTATAACGACAACTATCCCGAGTTCCCGACAGACCACGCCTTCGTCCCGGACGGTAGCTAGGATTTTTTTCAGGCACCCGGCCGCCACATCTCAGAAATTAATTCCCATCTCCTCACATCCGTTAGATGTAGAACCATCAGATACTCCTTCCATAACCATATTATTAAATCAATAGGCTATACAGTCGACTCCTGTTGATACAAACTCAGTCTGACTTAGCAAAAACGTTTGTCGTATCGGAATTTTGTGTCACTAGGAGTATCAGTCCAGTTCATTTTGCCCACGAATGCACAGTCGGACCGATGCTTCGTTAGCTATGACCGGAATTCGTCTTAGCAAAGTTTGTATTGACGGGAGCTGACTGGATATATTTTAATCGAGTGGTTTTATTCATTATCCAGTTCCCTTCTATTTTGCCCTCCTTTTTATACACTTTTTAATTACTGTTCCATGTTTATTATCCTTTTTACTTTCTCATTTGTTTTTCAGTCTTACATGCATTTTGTCTTATCTTGTCCTGTTTTATCTTGTCCGTCATGTAATGCATAGGCGTGCCCTTTTTTTACGAAGTTTTGTAAAGACTGACTTTTTCCATTCAAATGCCCTTTGTTCAACGGCTGCCCCCCCCAATAATTTGTAAAGAGTGCCCTTTTTTACGAAGTCCCCTTTTTTCTGAACAAGTGCCCTTTTCAAAAAAGAAGTGGTGCCTTTTTTTCAGAATTTCGCACCGTCGTCCTGAAAAGCACCATATATTGGCCCTTTGTGTCCAAATTGTCGGTTTTGAACAGCGCCCCCATCAACAGATGGTACCAGCCCCCCCCCTAATTTTACTTACAAATGTGCATATATTTTATATAGTTTGGTTTAATTTCTCTTGTTTATTACTAGTCTTTTTAATGTTCATGTTTATGTTTATTTGAATATTTGTAAATTCTGATGTAATTCAGCCCTTGGGCTGCCATGTCAATCTTTTTATCAATAAACCATTTATAATTATACCCAGGTAATTCCTTTTAAATCACTACAAAGTATACAATATACCATGTACGTCAGGGAAGAGAATTCCCACACAAGGGAACTATATTTATTTGGAGGAATTGGCTATTAAATACAAAACATATATATTTTTCATCACTTGAAATAATTACATGCTGTAAGCATTCTATGGAGTCCCTTCCCCTCAAATCAACACTGTCTTTTTCAGTCGACTGTATATAATTGTCCCACATAATTCTGGCGTATATCTGGCATTCATCTTTTGGTTATGTACTGAAAACAGCCTTTTCTTTTGGAAATGGTAAGTAAAACAGGAGAATTAAATTTCATGCAGTGTTATACATAAAGAAAAAATGAGCTTGGCAATATATCAGTTGAAAAAAAAACACTCACAGCAAATTGTCTGCATTTAACCTTGACCTTCTTTTGTGAAATTCAGTCATCCCAATGCTAACCTCAGCCACATACCACAATAATCGGAAACACAGATGACCAAATAACCTGGGCATATTTCCAGAACTTGGCTGAAAATAGTTTGTCAACAGATTCCAACAACAGACCTTCCATCGCTCATGGTTAGTTAAAGTGGAATACACATACTGTACAAAGAGGCAGTTCGGTGGAAATCAGGAAGTGCTTCCAGCAATGTCATGATGGTTATCATAAAAGGAACTCCAGACCTGCTATACTTTTTAAGCATTCCAACAACAATTCTGGTGAAAACCAACTACAAATTTTTAACATATCTTAAAGGCTTAAAGACGCAAATGTTGAGTTAAAGGAGGAACTTGGATTTGTCTAGCCCCTCTTATCCATACCTAAAGGGGGGTGTTCATCATTGACTGGAAGTCAGGATAATCCATGGCCTACGCTTCTGGTTGACCATTTGCTTGTTCCCCCACTTTGTCCGCCAGCACAAGATGAAGTACAGAATGTTGGTACGATCAGATACACGCATTAAAGGGAATATATAGCTTGAGGTGAGGCCAACATTTAGTTTGAAGCTATAGTACAGCTAAAGGAGAGCACCTAACTGCATCATAATAAATCTGATGCTCTCCACATCCATTCCATTATTTTTTTTGTATCTAAATGAGAAAAACATCAAAGGGGGAAGCAGGTGTATTTCTCCGCCTCCTATCAACACAATTTCAATAGGCCTCTGTATACTGATGACGTCACACTTTGATTATTTGTGCACTTTTTTAGTGGGCGCTGTGTTCCAATGGTTACGGTGTTCGACTCGTGTGCTGTGGTACATGGGTTCGAACCCTGACAGGGAACATGGTGCTTGTGATCTTGGACAAAGCACTTTACTAAGACTGCCTTTCTCCACCCAGGAGTATAAATGGGTACCTGTGAAGGTAGAGACTAAATTGCACTGATCTCGAGCTGCTGCAGAAAAAGTGGTCTCATTCCTGATGAACAGGGATAATAATTGTGATGCACATTTGATCATATACATATGGAGTTTGCGCAATATAAATGTCTAAATGATTATTATATATAATGGGGCTACGAAACCGCCATACTCACCAGGCACCCATAAGAAATCACAGTGTAAACAAAGTGTGATGTCATTAGTGCAAAGGCGTAATTTGGTAATTATATAGAGTATCGAAGTTTGACATCAACTGTCTTTGTTCTGGTTCACCAATGGTTCCCGCGCTGTCTTCACACAACACACTTTGGTACTCTATAACGCTTGAATAAATCCCTGTCATCTGATTGGTGGGTTGCTGCACGTCATTGAATTATACACGTCCCAACCCATAGCCTGGCCGTGCCGCAAGAATAACAATTCCATCCACTGCACGGTCACACTATTGATGGCGCTATAACATGGCTCTAATATGGCCTTGATGACCAAGATTCATTCAGGTGTTGTATAAAACAAATAATGAAGGTTTCATATTCATGCAATGGAAAGAATAATTCCACTAGGAATTATTATTAATTTAATAATAGGAACATTCCATCTGTCACCTCATGAAATTATACGCCGATTACCACTGCACCCATAAACATTTCAATTTTTGTATAACATGTCATTCTCTATTAAGAAGTTTCAATGATGCACTTACATTATACAACAACAAAAATGTGTGGCTGTGTGGCTGTGGCCCCTGATTAGGTTTTCAATCTAAAAATTTGTAAAAATTCTCTTACAAATCAATTAGGTTTCTGGTACAAAATATGTATACATATTAATGACTGGCTTCTGATTCTAGCTTGATTTTTGTCATAAACATATAATTGTTATTCTGTGCATATTGCAAACCTTGCATACTCCTCTGCAACTGACAGGCACTCCCTGACCTTTTGTCGACCTTTGCCCTGTGACCTGGCAAAGGTCATACTACCGCCACCCTTGCCCTGTAGCACCGACATCACAGGACCCATCCATGCATTGGCTGACAGCCTTCCCTTGGTCTTGACATGTAAAGAAACAACAGCACACAAAACAAACCAACAACAATTGTGTTTAAAAACTCCATGACTGATCCAAGGTATGAAGAAATATTCCTGTTTCAGTATGTAAACATTAGATACAAATAAAACTTACATGTTGTGGAAACCTAGTGAGTATCAATTGTTAATTGTTGACTGAGGTGATGTGGGATATGACGTTTTGTCAACACCCAAAAGGCACATGGCACCCTCGGCTTCGCCTCGGGTGCTATGCATCCAGGGAGGGGGGGGGGGGGCGGTTGCATAAAGCTCAGTTTGTTTTTCACAAAGTTTTCAGTCTGAATTTGTTAGGAGGTAATGGTATTTCCTTTGCACTGCTACCCATTTGCAAATCGCTGTGCCAAGCCCAATGCAGTGCACTTAATATCAAGATTGTGTCAGTGTAAAACTACATGTAGTGTGCATTTTTTGCCCATATTTGCAGAAAAGGCGGGGGAGCTGCATATTTGAGGAAAATACTCAATTGCAAAACATAGTTTTAACAACATTTCAAATATCCCAATGTAAGTTATATGTAACATCCAATTACGTAACTTTCAATTGACCATGTTAATCTCTACAGTTGCATGAAATATAGCCCATGAGTCCATTCTCCTATGTGTACTAATTGACATTGTGTACAATGTCAATGCCCCTGAGATAGATAAATAACAGTTGTTGCAGAGAAAATCCTTTAAACCTTCCAAAGTGAAACTGTTTTTCTATAATTTGATTTTGGTTTGGAAGATTTCTTTATCAATTTACTGGGTTATAATTCTGGGGTGAACTAATCAACTGGTGGCAAAATGAAGTCACAGAACATATATGATGGTGGGTTTCAGCGATTTCACTCTGGTCAGTTTTGCTTTTTAGATGTTTATTCCGGGACTCCATCTCAGTAGTGAGTACAGTGTATGTAGAAGGTAGTCCATATATGGGCTACATGAAAAATCATTCAAGAAAGTACGCCACACAAACTGTTGAGGGCTGATTACAGAACATTTTATCTAATTGTTTCTCCTGAATTTGTAACTATAGTTGTACAAAATATTTGCAATAATGCATAGCTACACCAAGTTTAGCTGCGCAACAAGTTTGTTGCATAAATCATATGCATGATTTATAAGTTACTAAACCTGAAATCAGTTGCAGGTTTGACAGGGACAGATTGATACCAGTGGCTAATGATCAGGTGGCAGGCTCACCTTGGGAACCATGCAGATGGCAGCCACATCGTCCTTGCAACCACTGATCAGCATGAGAGGGGTGTCTGGTAACATCTTGGCTAGCTCCTTGGCAATCTCAAGTAGTAACTGAGCAAGTGTAAAATACCGGTAATAGGATAAACTGGCATCTCCACAATCACATACCTTATCAAAATTCTTTAAATTGATGAAACCCAGTTTAAAAAAACATTTACAAGCTCCTTAATTTAGCATCTCTTCTTAGTAACCCATTTGTCACTCTGTCAATTGAGCTGTTTTATCTGTAGTATTTTCTTTAATATAAATACTATTTTATTCCCTGTGACCAGTGTCTATCTTATTGTCCATTATTTTGTTTCTATCTCTTGCTCTAAAATTGTCAATGTATACTTAAAAATAACAGCGTTGCTGTTGAAACCCCTCAGCCAGAGTCAAGTTATCATCCGGAAACCATTTACCTTTAACTCAACGTGGTGACCTTGACCTTTGGCCTTTGACCCCAGAACCAGTCCCAACATGCCTGTACCAATGGGAAACCCCCTACCGAAGTTAGACACCAACATTTCATTTCTAACTCAAGTTATCATTCGGAACCATTTACATTGAACTCACCACGGTGACCTTGACCTTTGACCTTTTGACCCCAAAACCAATCCCAACTTGCCTGTACCCAAGGGCAAACCCCTACCTCAGTCAGACACCAAAATCTCATTTCTAACTCAAGTTATCATCCGGAAACCATTTACCTTTAACTCACCATGCTGACCTTGACCTTTGACCTTTTGACCCCAAAACCAATCCCAACTTGCCTTCTCCCAAGGGGAACCCTCTTCCAAAGTTAGACACCAAAATCGCATTTCTAACTCAAGTTATCATCCGGAAACCATTTACCTTTAACTCACAATGGTGACCTTGACCTTTGACCTTTTGACCCCAAAACCAATCCCAACTTGCCTACTCCCAAGGGCAACCCTCTACCAAAGTTAGACACCAAAATCTCATTTCTAACTCAAGTTATCATCCTGAAACCATTTACATTTAACTCACCACGGTGACCTTGACCTTTGACCTTTTGACCCCAAAACCAATCCCAACTTGCCTACTCCCAAGGGCAACCCCCTATCAAAGTTAGACACCAAAATCTCATTTCTAACTCAAGTTATCATCCGGAAACCATTTACCTTTATCTCACCATGCTGACCTTGACCTTTGACCTTTTGACCCCAAAACCAATCCCAACTTGCCTTCTCCCAAGGGGAACCCTCTTCCAAAGTTAGACACCAAAATCGCATTTCTAACTCAAGTTATCATCCGGAAACCATTTACCTTTAACTCACAATGGTGACCTTGACCTTTGACCTTTTGACCCCAAAACCAATCCCAACTTGCCTACTCCCAAGGGCAACCCTCTACCAAAGTTAGACACCAAAATCTCATTTCTAACTCAAGTTATCATCCTGAAACCATTTACATTTAACTCACCACGGTGACCTTGACCTTTGACCTTTTGACCCCAAAACCAATCCCAACTTGCCTACTCCCAAGGGCAACCCCCTATCAAAGTTAGACACCAAAATCTCATTTCTAACTCAAGTTATCATCCGGAAACCATTTACCTTTATCTCACCATGCTGACCTTGACCTTTGACCTTTTGACCCCAAAACCAATCCCAACTTGCCTTCTCCCAAGGGGAACCCTCTTCCAAAGTTAGACACCAAAATCTCATTTCTAACTCAAGTTATCATCCGGAAACCATTTACATTTAACTCACCACGGTGACCTTGACCTTTGACCTTTTGACCTCAAAACCAATCCCAACTTGCCTACTCCCAAGGGCAACCCCCTACCGAAGTTACAACCCCAAACAACATTTCTAACTCAAGTTATCATCCGGAAACTAAGCTGCCCGGACGGACGGACGGACGTCCGTTCCAGCCAGACGGAATTGTGGGGTGATAGCATTGTGTTCCCATTATCCCTTTTTCTAAAGATTCCCTTCTGGGGTGATGTTTTTCTATTGTGAAAAAAGTGGGGTGATGTGTCCTGAAAGGAACATCACCCCACAAGGGTGGTATGGTCAGAACGGACACACACACATCCGGACGGACGGACGCCCTAGGCGATGACAATACCCCTCGAGCCTCTCGGCTGAGGGGTAAAAACTATATACAATTGTGTTCAGACATATCCATACCAGATTAACCTCTCAGACTCACACCTGAACTTCATAAAATGATTAACGGTCATCCAGTAACTTGTGGATTATTACTTGATGTTGTCAGGAATGCACGATCCAAATGTTTTATTTGTCAGAGTTTCCATTTAAAAAAAATAATTCTCACTTTATCACTCGATCCTGTTCAAACCTCTGAGGGAAAATCATCATGCAAAGGAATTGCATTGATCCCTACCAAAAACAAAACATGTGGTTTCTACATTTGGTAATGGTAACACAAACAACTCAACTGCAAATGCACTCACAAATCTACTGATCAGATTGATGCAGCAGCAGTATTAAGTAACCTTCAAAAAGCAACAACAATTTCAATGGTTATTGTATTCTATGAAATTTGAGTTTCAATGATTACCTTTGAGTTGATTTCATTTGTGACATTTCGGACAAGGTAAGGTGGGACATTGGCATCAGAGGATGATTCTTGGTAGTCAGAGTAAAGGCTTCCAACAATCTACAATTGAAACAAAAACTCTGTCATTGTAAAATAGATAGTGTCGGTTTGGCTATAATATATTAGTGCATTTAATCAATGATTAGGAGTACTTCATGTTCATTCATGTTTCATTCAAATGTAATATTACTTTTAATTCACAGTTAATCCCAGACCACTTTACATCACTGCTCGCTTTCAATTGTTCGAAAAACATGGGGTTGTTTTAGCTCAACTCTATCCACAAGTAAAATATATTGCATTTCCAGCTTTTCATGCTTCTTCGTGTTCTGGGGGGTGGGGGGGGGGGGGGGGGGGAGAAGGCAGGGACATATAGAAGACATTTGGTTATACAATGATAATAGATAACAGCTGTCCAATTATGTCACTGGTAACTCTGAAACTGTGGGTGCAGAATTGGGGGTGCTGTTGGGGTGCAGAATTGGCGAACTATTTGCACAGAATTTTCCGTATTTTTCTTCCTGGTGATGCTGTCTCGTTCAAAAATCAAATTTCTGATCTCGTCTTTGGAACAAGAGAGAAAATTCTTCTTTGAAGGCGACATTGTCATCTGCCAACATTATTACGGTGAAATTACAGCGCAATTTGTACACTTAAAAAAAGCAGACAAGCAGTGATGAACGATGAAAACAACAATGACGGTTGTAGCAGAAATAGTGCTTCACTGTCCCACATGGCATATCTCACAGGAACATACATCAACTTGCGTAGTACCAGCGTAGCTACAACCTCATACCTGAGGTCACACTAATCTAATATAAGTTACGCGGTTCGACACTTCCAACAGCGGGAAAGATCAAGGTAATGTACCATGTGTCACATGATCCATCTCGACCAATAAAACTTGACAATCTTTTACCGTGGTATAACAATATCTTATGTAGCACAGTCCACATCCATCTCCGCGTAACAGGCTATTCCAAGATGCGAATGCCATTTCAGCTGCACACGCACTCGTGGAACGTGGAAAATGCAGTGCATCTGTGTCCCATATACCCTTCAGCCTCGTGGCATGTGGGACGCAGATGCACTACATTATTCTGTGTTCCAATCGAGCTCGCGGGATGATGTATAGGTGCTATGTTCCATCTAAAGCTACATCTGAACAAATCAAATTGGATAAAATGACATATGTTCAAGTTGCTTGCCTGTTTGACCTTTGACCTCTCTGCCATCTTCTCCGTTTGTTTAACCTTCTCCCTCATGGCATGAATTTGTTGATTAATAGTTTCCTTTCTCCGGGCTTCTATCCAGGTGGTGTCTAAGGTTGTAGCAAGTAGATCCAGGGATTGTTTCACATTTGTAATTTCCGCTATGGTGTCACTGCACAACAGTGATTTCAACTGTAAGAAAGAAGAGATGTACGGCAATGCAATTAGGATCATATTTTGTTCTTATTAACCTGTTTTACTCTCGTTAAAAACAACATGTTTGCAGTGAAGAATAGGCACACATTTTTGAGTCATTGGATTGGAAAGTCATATTTTCTTTTTTTATTCAAGGCTTGGTTCAGTTGCACTGATATTCAAAGTCGAGGAAGTAGTACGAAAGACAAGGGCACCATTCCTGACAGCATTCCGTGATTCAACCACACAACTCCACTTGTAATAATTATTTGTACATGGTAAAGCAATTAGGCTCGTCTTTTTCTTCCAACAAATGCCAGTGAAATGTATCACTAACGCTCTCTTAGTCTTAGCCATCCTCAAGATAATTATCATGATTTTTAAAGCATTGCATTTTGTACAACTAAATCTGAAACCTCCGAAAATTGCACATGTTGGATTTTATCCCCTGGATGTTCAAGAGCAGATGAGGGTACCCGTACCTAACTGGCCATGTGCTAGCGGGCGGCACAGTTGCATATCATCTTGCGCAGTTGTACATGCATGCAGCACACACTGTATTAGTGTGACACATGATTTTTCCATGTCACAGGTCATTGCTTAACCTTTTATCCAGCCGGAAAAGGCTCTGATCAGTGTTGGCCTAGGTGTCGTAGAAACACTCCATTAACGACTGGTGAAAGAGATTGAACCTACGCGTGCGATTTTAACGTGCCATTTTCATCGACTTTTCATCGACTCTTCTTCCAAACTATGATTTAAATATAATGTCATATTGTGGAAAAAGTCGTTAAAGAAAATATGAAAATCGTTGAAAAATTCAAAAAGTCGGATTTCTGATTAAAATCGCAAAGTTTCATCTCTGCAGGCAGAACAACTAGGCTGCCCTACTGAGTAGGATGATAATTTACCTGGCTATCCAGCTCAGTTACTCGTTGTTGAAGGGTATTGGCGACATAGTCAGCTGATAGTGCATCATTGCCAGTGATGGCTGTGAGTCGACGGACACCCGCACTCACTTGCCGCTGAGCTGTGACGAGCAGCTTCTTAATATGACCAGTATTGCACACATGACTACAAATGCAAACAAATAATAGACATACTATCCATAAAAACCAAAACACACAACTTAGAATTCATTGAAACATCTTCACTTAGACTTCACAACCAATTTAAAAGTCAGCTGCTTACTGTTGCAAACCAAATTAATTGATGAAAAAACTTCTTAACTCTAAATGCTTTCAACAAACCATTAACTTTCCCTCAACAGTTTTGCATGGTTTGCTCTATGAAATACAAAAAAAATATCTTTGAAATCTAGCGCTTACTTTCCCCCACACAGTTCCACGGGATAATGCTTAGCTGCCGCACCCTCCAAAACCTCTGGAATGGGAACAGCTACAGAAACCACAGTCACAGGGTCAGTGTAGGCCTCCTCAAATACTGCCCTTACTCCCTCTGTGGTCTTGATGGTTGCTAGGGGAACCAACCCTCTGTAGACAGGATGTTTCTTAGTGATGATGTCATTGACAATCTGGGTCACTTGTTGCAGTTGCGAGTGGTCAAGAGCTGCCTGAAAATGAACAATAGACTGTTCCTGAGTGGGCCATCTACATCTACATCTACGATGGGTTTCATCAAAGCAGCATGTCCATGTTGATTTGTCTATGCTCAGAGCTAAATGGGGTCATCCACACAATTTTATTCATCTTAAATATTTTTCATGGTTTCATTTTGGTTTTGGAAATGGGGGAAACTCATTTCTTCAGTTTATCCAGCTACCTGGTGTCTGATTGCATTTCCTTTACATTTGTTTACCAGTTTGTACATAAAAGGTAATATGTATAACATTTGCTTTTGCTGTAATTTTAAAGGATGGATTTGGGGGTTTGAATTTGTTAAAATGGTAAAAAAACATTATGCTAATTTATGAAACAAAGAACAATGACGTCACATCATTGTTATTATTTAGTGAATTAGTTACATATAAAGCATTTAAAAGAACTGCAGTCCCTGAGCTACTACAGTGCCCATTGGTTAACAAAATGAGCTATGATTCCCTGGTTCGAATCCTGCCATGTCCATTTTTCCAACGACTTTTTTCTCATTGAAGGGCAAGAAGGAGCTCAAAACCTAAGTGTCTTACTGTGATTCTGTGAAATTACTTAATTATAAGAGTGGTAAGACATCTGCACTAGAAAGCAGGAGGTCGTGGGTTCGAGTCCCACCCGAGTGATTTTTTCCAACTTTCACTCGGGAGGTAACACACTGAGTATACAGTGTTTAAACGTTGGTGAAGGGCAAAACCTAATTTGGTACTTAATTATATTTAAGTAGCTTCACCCACCTCATGAAAAAAAATCTGCACGCCGCACGCCATTCGTCGGTTTTTTCCAATGCTGGTCGGCTTACCATCATTGGAAATCGATACAAAAATTCCACTTTTTTTGAAAATGAGAGAACACCAGGTGTCATGATTTCACAGGATGCTTGATGAGGCTATTATCCAGTCAATGGATGTATTTGATATTAATCTGGGCCCAATGTCATGGCTCTGCTTACTGTTAGCCAAAAATCTGTGTTTATTATACCGGAAAATACTGTGCTTATGGTTAAGCGTATTTCACAGGGAGGAATTTTGGCTTCTGCGCAGGCGTACAACCCTTAAATAAGGATTCTGTGCTTACAAGGTTTGTACAGAATTTTTCGGCTAGCGCAGTTAGCACAGAATGGTGATCATAAGCGCGGAATTCTGTGGTAAGTGTTTTTTTATGTTTGTGAATGTTGTATATTACCTTTGAGTACACAAGCAGTCCCATTTTATGTTAAACTAACATGCAGGGTTTCATTGAACCCAAGTAAGATTTGAGGCTTTGCATGGTGGAGATACTAATGAATAAAAGGTTCGCGGAAACACCATGTGCCAATAGTTTCTCAACTAACAGAATGGTTCTGAAAAGAACCAGAGGTATAAACTCGACGTTCCGGTCAGTATGCTCTGAAGACCGTCAGAGCATACTGACCGGAACGTCGAGCTTATACCTCTGGTTCTTTTCAGAACCATTCTCTTAGTTTGAGAAATTATTCGCACATGGTGTTTCTGCAGACCTTTCATTCATTCATTAAACCTATTGGTTTGTTGACATTTCTCACAGAGCATATGACTGAGTTTGACCGAGCTAATGGCAAACAATGTCCATGACAACTGTTGTTAAGTCACTTGATCAAATGGCATGATGACTATGAAGACATGAAGAAAGGCCCCATGAAAAATTACATAAAAAGTTTTAGATACAGGCCTGTTAAGAATAATAAAATGACGTGATCTTGCACACTGCATAGAACATAGGGACCTATCATGAGCATTGATTGCTGTGGGTGGGCAGCGCCTAAAACCAAACCCTAAGGGTCATTTAATAGTTTCTTAATGAAACTGGGTATGCCGAGTCACAATTGCAGGCCTACCTTTGCTGTGAAGTCAAAGCGTAGACGATCCTGGGCAACCAATGAACCACGCTGCTCCAGATCACCTAGGACCTCCCGCAAAGCAAAGTTGAGTATGTGAGTTGCTGTATGATTCCGCATTATCTTCTGTCTTCGTACCTAAAAACAAAGGAGAGATCATGCTGTTACCTCAAAAAGAACAAAACGTTGGTGTCAAAAATAAACACATGGATTATTGTAGATAACGATCAGGATGAGGTGCACAATGACTTCAACAAAACTCATAAAATCATGTTTAGAAACTTATATTTGTATTGATACAAGCAAAATATTTGTGGTCTTCTGAAGTGGAATGGTTTTCCATTCAGTTAAGTCCCTCAAAAACATAGCATAGTGTTCTCTGAGGACTTGGGAGAAAGAATTCACAAGCTTACTCGGAAGGGAATCGAACCCACTACTTCCTGCTTTCTAGTGCAGATGTCTTAACACTCGACCCTTCAGCTTACCGGGGTTGGTTGGCTGGTTCAAATCAGGATGGGTACTGCAATCAATCATGATTGGAGACTTTTGGAGCGAAGTTTGGAATTGGGGATATACGCTTTTGGGTGTTTTTTTTTTAAACATTGGCATTGGAAACATTGGCATTAATTATTTTATGTCACCTTGTTTAGAAACAGCATGAGATTGTCACCAGGTTTAACAGTCTCCACTGCAGTGCCTACATGCAACACATAGCCAGCATACAATTGCACATTCTCCACCTGAAAGACTACTTCCTGTAGAATAAGAAACACAAACAATAGTGTTATATGTGGAATTAGATTATAACACCGCGCTCCCACTTAAATTGGGAAAAGGTGGATCAAGATCCGGCATTTTGGTGCGATCGTTATCTTACCGCAACGAAACCACAAGAAAGGTGGATCTGATCCTGATCCACATTATAACGGTTAGCGTTCCCACTACACACAATTGCCGGATCTGATCCACCAATTGGGGGATCTGATCCGTCAATTTGGCAAAAGGTGGATCAGATCCCCCAATTGGTGGATCAAGTGGGAACGGGGTCTAACATTTCATTTCTTTTCACCCTGTTTATGTGACATTTCAGAATTTCCAGAATGACCACTGGATAACTCTGGAGAGTACTTCACTAATCTTCACAATAACCATTTCAAGAAGCACTATGATCAGTCATACCTCAAATTAAAATGGATAACCCATAGTAACCTACATTCATTTAAATTTTTATAAACAATTTCAAGAAACTTACCGTGACCTCCATTCACTAAAATTCCATGGGGACAATGTGTGACTTGTGGTAAGTTATACATGTAATGAGTCTATTGGTTATCCAATAATACAAGTGTTGTTTGCGCAACATTTCAATTTCTTTTGACACATTTCACCAAAGTTTCACAAGGGGCAAATCTGTAACGTTGGAAATATATTATAGTAAAACTTATGCAGTCATTTTAGGTGGCATAAGTTACGGCATACAAATAAAAAAAACACTATGCACTGCCACACAATTCCAAGGAGAGTAGGTCAAAACTATTTCAATAAAGAAGCTGGAGCTAATTCAATGTCTTTTTTGCGACTGATACTAAATCATACACAAACAGTCGAACACGTTTAATAGCATTGATTTGAAGTAAACTGTGCAGCTGAACAACAGCTCTGCTGTGTAAATTCTGCACATGGCATATATAAGTTACCGTACACACTTGCGTGAAATTGGATGCTGAAGACAGAGCCAACTCACCTCATTTTTGACTGAGTTCAGATGCCCCTCGTCCCACTCTTGTCCCCCTTGCTCGGCATAGAAATTGGTACAGTCTAAGACAATGCCGCATTCTTCACCACTGCTGACCACACTAGCAAATCCCTTGTCTGTTTTCAGTGCCAAGACCCGGGCAGGTAGTGGAGGGAATACTACAGAGACAATGTTGACATCAATCAAATATGACCTGGGTCATATAGGCCTAGTGGTTAACAGAACAGCTGTGCTATGCATATGCAGATGGACCCGGGCATGTCATCACTATACACTTATGAGGCCCCCTTCAATGGAGAAACCATTGTGCACGCTATAGGGCTCGCTCAATGACGGCCATCTCTGTAGGAGAACTACAGCTGCGAATCTTACGCAATCAAGTACGCATTGCGCAGTGTTGAAAATGTTCCAAACACGCGCGCTTGTTGCTGGAAATGTGTTCGAATTATGATGCAGCCAATGCGCGTTATGCAAGTTGACGCTCAAAATGCCGATGCACGTGGACGTTCTGTAGGAAATGACATCATTTGAACGAGACCTATTGTACAAAGTAGCTGTCATCACTATACACTCATGAGGCCCCCTTCAATGGAGAAACCACTGTGCATGCTACTGTACAAAGCAACTGCCCCATGACAAATTATCTGAACAGCAGCAAACACAATGCATTAGCCATTGAAGGGGGCCTCTGTGATATAATTGATAGCATGCCCAGATTAGTCTATATCATTCTGATTATTTCAGCTCATTTTACAAAGGGCTGATAATACTGGAGAATGATGCTTGGTGATGATTGATGGGTTTAAGCCCATAGAAAATCTTGTCGATATTTAAATTTGCTGCCAAACCTGAACTGAGCCATTGTTTACACAAGAATCTTGAAAACTTGTTAAACTGCACAGAACTTGAGAGTTGATTTGCAGCAGTAGATGTTACATCTGGTAATAATGTTGCCAACGTAAGGGTCATCACTACAAGCCTTCATGTGTTTCTAGATGGCCCTCACTCATATCATCCCAAAATACTTAATTATTGTTGAAATGTTACTGTGAAGATGAGTAAAATTAAACCAAACTTTAAACTGCCTGGTTTTGAAGAATTCACCAAGAGTTTCACTTATTTAGGGCTCTGCTTTAGCAACGACTCTTCAACTACTGTAGAAATATTGCACAAACAGAAAGTTTTTTAGTGGTTCAAAAGGATTCTGTGATGAAAGGACTAGCAATGATTATCTAGGCTGGTGCTGTTAGCATAGAATGGTCAACAGAAGTGCAGAATGTCACGGTTAGCTGAGCCATGAAGTAGGGCCCAGTGCTTGAGTGCCTTACCATATTTTCCCGAGTCTGTGTAGCTATAGTCATACTTGGGAGAGTCATTAGTGAACTTGACTTTCTTCCTCTGTAAGATGCTGAGGTCGATTGCATCCAAGCGGATCCGTGGCAGTTGGCCAAGGTTCTTCATGCCTCCTTGAGAAGTTACCTGAGAGATGAAGGAACATCAAGTACATTATGACGATTCAACTATGAATTGAATGTACCAACGCTAGTATCAAGGGAATAATCAAGACTGCTTGAATGATCAATATCAATACAAGTGGAAAAAAATCAATATTGTAGTAACATATAACTAGGAATATAAACAAATAAGTACCTATGTGAACATAAATGGTTAATAACAAAATCAATGAAACTATGAGTTGGGATATCAATGTATGATTCTTGTTTTTTTTTCCATTCCATTTAAATTAATCATTGAAATTATCAAAATCAATTATCAACAAAAACATCAATGAAATAATCACTACATGGAATAAAAACAATAAATATTAATGAGATATCGCCAGAACCGCACCTGAATAATCAACACTTATATGTATGTGGAACACTAAATATAAATATCAATGCAAAAAGTAAATGAAAAGTCCGTCAGATTGTGCAAAATACAATCAATAGAGATAAATTCCTGACAGTGCTAATATCTGCACATGGTAGTGTGCAGATATTAGCACTGTCAGTTTACCTCGTATGCCTTTAATCTAGCCCCCTCATATCCCTCCATGTCAATCTGGATACCATGTCAATTCAGGTTACCTCATATGCCTTTAATCTAGCCCCCTCATATCCCTCCATGTCAATCTGGATACCATGTCAATTCAGTTTACCGCATATGCCTTTAATCTAGCCCCCTCATATCCCTCCATGTCAATCTGGATACCATGTCAATTCAGGTTACCTCATATACCTTTATTCTAGCCCCCTCATACCCCTCCATGTCAATCTGGATACCATGTCAATTCAGGTTACCTCATATACCTTTATTCTAGCCCCCTCATACCCCTCCATGTCAATCTGGATACCATGTCAATTCAGGTTACCTCATATACCTTTATTCTAGCCCCCTCATACCCCTCCATGTCAATCTGGATACCATGTCAATTCAGGTTACCTCATACGCCTTTAATCTAGCCCCCTCATATCCCTCCATGTCAATCTGGATACCATGTCAATTCAGGTTACCTCATACGCCTTTAATCTAGCCCCCTCATATCCCTCCATGTCAATCTGGATACCATCTAGCCCCCTCATATCCCTCCATGTCAATCTGGATACCATGTCAATTCAGTTTACCTCATATACTTTTAATCTAGCCCCTTCATTTTCCTCCATGCCAATCTGGATACCATGGCAATTCAGGTTACCTCATATGCCTTTAATCTAGCCCCCTCATATCCCTCCATGTCAATCTGGATACCATGTCAATTCAGGTTACCTCATATACCTTTATTCTAGCCCCCTCATATCCCTCCATGTCAATCTGGTTACCATGTCAATTCAGGTTACCTCATATACCTTTAATCTAGCCCCTTCATTTTCCTCCATGCCAATCTGGATACCATGTCAATTCAGGTTACCTCATATGCCTTTAATCTAGCCCCCTCATATCTCTCCAATGTCAATCTGGATACCATGTCAATTCAGGTTACCTCATATACCTTTATTCTAGCCCCCTCATACCCCTCCATGTCAATCTGGATACCATGTCAATTCAGGTTACCTCATATACCTTTATTCTAGCCCCCTCATACCCCTCCATGTCAATCTGGATACCATGTCAATTCAGGTTACCTCATACGCCTTTAATCTAGCCCCCTCATATCCCTCCATGTCAATCTGGATACCATGTCAATTCAGGTTACCTCATACGCCTTTAATCTAGCCCCCTCATATCCCTCCATGTCAATCTGGATACCATCTAGCCCCCTCATATCCCTCCATGTCAATCTGGATACCATGTCAATTCAGTTTACCTCATATACTTTTAATCTAGCCCCTTCATTTTCCTCCATGCCAATCTGGATACCATGGCAATTCAGGTTACCTCATATGCCTTTAATCTAGCCCCCTCATATCCCTCCATGTCAATCTGGATACCATGTCAATTCAGGTTACCTCATATACCTTTATTCTAGCCCCCTCATATCCCTCCATGTCAATCTGGTTACCATGTCAATTCAGGTTACCTCATATACCTTTAATCTAGCCCCTTCATTTTCCTCCATGCCAATCTGGATACCATGTCAATTCAGGTTACCTCATATGCCTTTAATCTAGCCCCCTCATATCTCTCCAATGTCAATCTGGATACCATGTCAATTCAGGTTACCTCATACGCCTTTAATCTAGCCCCCTCATATCTCTCCAATGTCAATTCAATTTACCTCATATGCCTTTAATCTAACCTTCTCATATCCCTCCATGTCAATCTGGATACCATGTCAATTCAGGTTACCTCATACGCCTTTAATCTAGCCCCCTCATATCCCTCCATGTCAATTTGGATACCATGTCAATTCAGTTTACCTCATATACCTTTAATCTAGCCCCCTCATATCCCTCCATGTCAATCTGGATACCATGTCAATTCAGTTTACCGCATATGCCTTTAATCTAGCCCCCTCATATTCCTCCATGTCAATCTGGATACCATGTCAATTCAGTTTACCGCATATGCCTTTAATCTAGCCCCCTCATATCCCTCCATGTCAATCTGGATACCATGTCAATTCAGTTTACCGCATATGCCTTTAATCTAGCCCCCTCATATCCCTCCATGTCAATCTGGATACCATGTCAATTCAGTTTACCGCATATGCCTTTAATCTAGCCCCCTCATATCCCTCCATGTCAAACTGGATACCATGTCAATTCAGGTTACCTCATACGCCTTTAATCTAGCCCCCTCATATCTCTCCAATGTCAATTCAATTTACCTCATATGCCTTTAATCTAACCTTCTCATATCCCTCCATGTCAATCTGGATACCATGTCAATTCAGGTTACCTCATACGCCTTTAATCTAGCCCCCTCATATCCCTCCATGTCAATTTGGATACCATGTCAATTCAGTTTACCTCATATACCTTTAATCTAGCCCCCTCATATCCCTCCATGTCAATCTGGATACCATGTCAATTCAGTTTACCGCATATGCCTTTAATCTAGCCCCCTCATATCCCTCCATGTCAATCTGGATACCATGTCAATTTAGTTTACCTCATATACCTTTAATCTAGCCTTCTCATATCCCTCCATGTCAATCTGGATACCATGCCAATTCAGGTTACCTCATATGCCTTTAATCTAGCCTTCTCATATCCCTCAATGTCAATCTGGATACCATGTCAATTCAGGTTACCTCATATGCCTTTATTCTAGCCCCCTCATATCCCTCCATGTCAATCTGGATACCATGTCAAATCAGGTTACCTCATATGCCTTTAATCTAGCCCCCTCATATCCCTCCATGTCAATCTGGATACCATGTCAAATCAGGTTACCTCATATGCCTTTAATCTAGCCCCCTCATACCCCTCCATGTCAATCTGGATACCATGTTCCTCAGCCACCAATGTTGTCAAGTCAAGTGGGAAACCATATCCATCGTACATCTTCCAGGCAACATCACCTGCAAATATTGAAACATTTCAGTATGAGTACTTCATGAAAGTAAATGAAAGTAAAGCTGTATTAAAAGCAGAATAACATCCATGACAAGTACTTGAAGTATAATTTAAGAAAAATGACAAACATCATGCCATAGAGTGCCACCCAAGCAAGGCAGTGACCAACTACCAACATAGGGCTAAACAGCAGATATGGAAATCTAGATGTTGCAGGTTTGAGTTCTACTGTTATTATTTAACTCTCTTTGCTCATCTGAAAATTGTGCAATGTACCTGACAGCTTAGATCCAGCTGGCAGTTTGGATAGACTTTTGGACAGGAATTTCTGGCCCTTTTTGAGAGTTTTCAGAAACTGGTGTTCTTCAGCAGAGATGATGTCCATGATGTGTTGTGGATCTTGTCTCAGTTCAGGATACATGCTACCCTGTGAGAATGCAATGTGGAATTCAATAAGATATTACATAATAAATATGATCGTCATATTAAAATATCCAAATCATTATAAAATAGTTTACTTAGTTGAACAGGAACTATGACATTGAATTCACTATGAAAGTATTCTGTTTTTCATGCTGAGTGGCATATAAGGCAAAACAGAAAATATATCAAAAATTCTTTTAAAAAAATGCCAAGATGTATGGAGATTTCTCCAATGTTTTCTTAATGTAATGATACAATTCACCAAATTACATGTTTTTATAAAGTGTACTAACATTAATAACAGGAGATGGATAACATTCTCAGTGGTAAAGAAATGTTTTTGTTTTAAAATCATGTTCTATTTAAAGCTGCACCCCCTGTGCTATTTTGGAGTTTCACCGCAATTTTGGAGTTTCACCGCAATATAGAGATTATTTTCTTCATAATTTTAAGTTGCCAATTTTCTAGAAATACAAAAGTTAGTCAATTTTTAATGAAACATTCTAAGAAAAAAATCTGTCCAAGTTTAGTTATGGAATAACTACTTTTCAAAATTTGATTTATTTGCAACCCAACTATAAGTCAGGTGGGTCTTTTTGAGAGTTCCAGGTGCAAATGTAACCCAAAGTAAAAGCCTTTGTAAAGGGTTGCAGACACCTACAAATTGAAACAAGTGGTCCACGGACCGCATGTGTCGCCCCTTTTTGTTTTGTGATCTTAACAAAAGTAAAAATGTGGGCATTTTTAAACGACCTGAAATGACCCCTAGATGACCTTTGACCTCCAATTTTGGAAGACTTGTGATGAACCCCCACCCAAGGATCACTCCAGCCAGGTTACGTGAAAATCCATCAAATTTTGTAGACAAAGAAACATTTGAAGCATATTTGAACTATTACCTCTATTGACCCCTACATGACCTTTGACCTCCGATGAGGAATTGTGTCTTTCCACCCAAGGGTCACTGCATCCAAGTTTCATAAAAATCCATAAAAGCGAGTAGAAGTTATGCATGTTTTGCACAAACTTAACCTAAACCTCTGTAAATTGCATCATAATTGACCTCATTTGACCTTTGACCTGAAATTTATTCCACATTAGCTTTGGTACTCAATGACCCTTGTGTCCCAGTTTCATGGAAATCAGTAGTCTAGGGGTTAGAAGTTGCATGGTTTGATACCCGATAACCCGCTGCAGCAATAACCCGCCGCCGCGAGAGGGCGCTATCACGACTAACCAATATTGCCCATGGACTTGTCAGTAGCAACGTGAATCTCCTGAAATCTCCCCCCTGAAAAATGGGGGACACTAGTGCGCATGCGTGACTTCTGCAGTCAATTACGGTTCATTTTCAGTCCCACACATACTACACATAACAAAAGAGCTGACCAGTGAAGTTGCACAAAGGTCTTACTGCCTCTTTTATTGAACTGGAAGAAATTTGAGAGTTTGCTTCGGAACTACTATACATTTTTGAATTGCGTGCTGCATATATTAGGCCAAACAGGTGCGCGCGCATTACACAACCAATAGGAGATTCCCTAGATGTTGCTACTGACAAGTCTGTGGACGATATTGGTTGGTCGTGATAGCGCCCTCTCGCGGCGGCGGGTCATCGCATATCAAACCATGCAACGTCTAGCCCCTAGACTAGGAATTCAGGGGCGTGTTTTCGCGACTGTGACCAGAAACATGTTTCGGCTTTGGTCATTGGTCGAGCGTTTTCGTGTCTTCGGTTGGCTGGAGTGACTGTTCCAAACAAAACCAAACCAAGGCCAAGGGTCGGTTACGAAGTGCATTTCAAGATGGCGGAAAGATAAATACCCAACATTCAACAAAAGTGTTGGGAAAAATAAACTTGCAATGCTTATTTTTAATACGTACATCGCAAGTTTGTACATTTTAAGTGGCCTGTAATAAAATGTCTACAACTAAAAAGCCCACAAGGTATTATCCCAAATTTCGCAGGGACTGGCGGCAAACACCTAAGATTTATCGATGATGTTGAAATGTCCGCCATGTTTGTTTACAACTTTTTGACACTGTTTTCGGTTCAGCGTTTTTGTGCGCATGTGCAAACATGTTTCTGGTCGCGGTCACGAAAACACGTCCCTGGTGAATACTTTGGCAATGAGAGTAATTTGAAAAACTGTAACATAAACTTTAACATTCGGTCATACGGTCATACGTTCGTACGCTCCACGGGTACTTCCGGGGTACCGTCCTGTTCAGACTTGTACTCCACAATTTTTTCCTTCGAAAAACAGTACCCCACAAGTGAAATACAAAAGAAGGGAAATAAAGGACGAACAATGCACCTACCCCACAAGTCTCATCCGTGAAGTCAGTCATACAGAATGTAGGACTGGCAAGTGTCTCCCGAAACATTCGTTTGGGTGACACAAAAAGGGAGTTTTGGTTAAAATAAAGACGTACAAATTGAAACGTCTTTAGGGAAAAAGATTTGAATATGTTGCAAAGTGGAGGGAGAGGACCTTTTCCGTCGAGTATATATCACAGAGTTATTTAACAGAAACCAAACTTGCCACTGCTTACAGTTTTTTATAACACATTGAGCAGCTTCAACTCCAAATTTGGTATTGTGTTTGCACAAAATGATTTGACCACTTTGGCATAATGCTGACTTACCAAGGAGTCTATGACCACCGGAACCAGACTAGCCAGTAACCCTGGAGGAGCGTGTAGTTTCTCAGTTGCATAGCGCACAGCTCGACGTACAACTCGCTTCAACACATATCTAGGGAGATGACAACCAATTATGATGAGGGGATGTTTTATCCATCCAACTTCTCACTACACTTTAGTTTTTCTCACAGGTCTGTCATTAACTGACTTACTTAAAACTAAGACAGTTGTGGACATGAAACAATGATATGAATTTCATGGGTTGCATGTGCGCTCCTTCACGAAACTTTAGATGTGGGAATATGCAAACAATGCTGACTGGGTGTTAGGAATGAACATGTATGTGGTTCAAAACAATCTGCGTGCATATTTGGAATAAAAAAGCGGTTCCCTCAAACACTGTGCCGTGATTGGCCACTACCCAAATGGGTAATTTAGCTCATAGACTGTGTACACACGTCTGGCAGATTGACTAAGTCTGGATTTCTGAACTCACATAAAAATAACATGTATGTGTACATTTTTAACATGCTGGTCTGGCAGTGATGCGTGAGGGCGCGCATTATACACAGCTCATATCTTGACTGTGCAGTGCAGTGTGTAGGCATACGTAAATATTGTATGTGTGCGTTTACTGAACAAACCAAGCGAAACCCAGACTTGGGCCAAGTCTAGGGGAAAGTAAGAACCTAGAGTTTTAGGGGGAGGGGGGATCAATCTCCCATACCACACCACTCCCCTCTTGCTGCTTGATCATGTTATACAATTTATCCAATCCACGTTTCCACCTAGGATCAAACTCACCCTCGTTTGAAATAATCTGGTTGCCCGCCGTCGGCAATGGCTACTGTAAGCATCCTAGCATGGTCCGCTACTACTCGGTAGGCTGTGTCGATATAGTCAGAGTCTAAAGCACCAGTTAACCCACTGTAAGGCCGGGAACCAGACCCCTGTTGCAGGAAGGTGGACAAATTAATGATTGAAAAACAAAAACTTTTGTGAACAGGACAACAAATATTGCTATGGAATCTGTCAACAAATACGCCTTCTAACAATGAGAATCATAACATCTATTATTAGGTGAGAGTAATTTAGTGACATTTCTTGTTGGAATACTTGTGTCCTAAGAAAGCATCTCTCTAGCCAAAAGTGCATACATGTGATATGCTTTATCATGTAGAGTCGATTATGAACAATCAGTTGAAACCTGATTGACTACACTGCCATTTCCACTGAGGGTTCAAGTTGACTTTGCCAAAGCAGCTTTTGCTATGTGAGTGTTCTCACTTGGCTCTGGTAAGTAAGCAGACACAATGCCCTTGACAGTTCCCGTTCACAGTCCTGGAAGGACTTTATGTGACAGGAATTATGTAGACACTTGGCCATGTACAAAAAAGGGATGTATGCCCTTTGTTAGATATCATGGTATTATTAACAGACGTCTTCTTGCCTACCGCAGATTTACATGTTGCTGTATTCTTACACGTGTCTGGCCTTCGTTAATGTACATAAATTGCCATTGATTGAAATTAACTGCTCTCTTTGGCTCTTATGGGTCGCCATACAGTGCCCTGAGCCACATATATGGCTTCTTACATTTTCAATGGCCTTGAGTAGCGGCAAGAATAAGTCAGTCTCATAGTTGGATTCAACACCTTGTAGTATCGCCACAAGCCGCTCTAGCCCCATGCCTGCATCCACATGTTGCTGAGGCAACAGCTTCAAGCTGCCATCTGTTTGTCTGAAAATGACAGGTGCATTTTCATCAGAGTATGCTTAAACAAAGCTAATCAACATTTTCTGACAAGAAGTTGTCTGCTTTTGAGTTTCATTTTTGAGCTAGTTTAGAAGGCATAGTTATTGGTTTCACAAATCATTAATGCCCATGGTCAAGATGTTCAAATGGATTATTGACATCTGTGGCAAACTTGTTGCTTCTGATAATGCAAAGCCACAAAACCGACAAACTGAAGAATATTGGAGACATGGAGACATTGGCAGATATGGAACCTTGCCTTCCACCCAGGTTTAAGTCCTACATCATGTAATTAGGTTTGTTAGTCCCCATGATTCAATTGGTTTTCCTTACAACTAATTGAGCTTTTCCACCCATTTCTAAAACTTGCATTTCTAAAACTGAAACTGCAATTTTCTTCATCACCACTTTCAAAATCAAAGTTCTTATAGATGCGCAGTGTTAAAGCATTAATTAAATGGATACCCACACTAAATTAAAAACAAAATAAAATAAACGAAATGTTCTGCTAAATCCTCTTGCTAACTACATGTAAGCATTTCAACATATCTTAAAGGGACACTGCATCCTGGAATACACCCAACTGGGCTACAAAACGCGTTTTGAACAAAATGATGGTAATGGGAAAGAACATTTAAAAGTAGGATATAAACATCTACAAACTATCCTTTAAACTAGAACGGCGAAGCCGCCATGGCTCGCTGTTCAAGGCAGGAAGGGAGGCTGAAGGTAGGGTTGGGGATGGGCATGATGGAGATCAGGATTCTCGTTGATGTGCCTAGGTGTAGGGGTCAGTTTTTAAATGTCAACATAAAAAGTCAACAGATTACCTAATAAATACATGTGTATATAGGTTAGCCGTCACTGTATTATGGGGGAGTTTTCCATTGTTAGGGTAATTAGGACCCAGTTGTGGATTTTTGCAGCCTCAACAGTGTCTTCTGCTCCCCATACTTGTATTACCATGGGAAAACTCTTGTGTAGTCGCCACAAATGCAGAACAAGAATGGGTATACATGTACATGTAGACACAGCACCATCACCACCTCCCCCAAACCTTACCCCATCCAAAAACCATCCCATCCTCCCCTAACCATCCCCACCCTATCACCTACACATCCCAACCCCACCCAAACTCCAATCCCTATCTCCTTCCCCGTACCCTCCCCTACCCCAACCCCCAACAACACCTACCCTATCTTCCCCTATCTGTCCTTACCCACCCTACACATCCCCACCCTAACCCTTACTCGAATTCCAATATCCCGCCCACCCCATTCCCCCACCCATACATCCCCACCTGACCCCATGCAGCCCCTACTCTGATCCCTATATATTGCCCCCTCCCCTTATCCAACCCCTACAACAACCCATCCCTACACATCCCCAACCCAACCCAACCCCTACTCCGATCCTATATCCCGCCCCCTGACCAACCCCCTCCTAACCCAACCCCTAAGTCCATGCCCATCCTCTCTCTACCTGTCTCCCCTACCTGTCTCTCCCTACCTGTTCCCACCCCACCCCTACAAATCCCCACCCCACCCCAACCCAGTATTCCAACCCCTCTCCCCACCCCACCCCACCCAAACCCACCCCGCCCCACCCATCCTAGCTCCCCTACTCATCCTACTCACACAAACCCTAACTCCAACCCTATCCCCCAACCCACCCCACCCCACCCCATCCCTACTCCAACCCCATCAACTAAAAGATCAAACCAGAAGCTCATGCACATCCCCAAAATGCAAAGTGTACATGTACATGTTATACCGGTATACAAACACATACATGTTAAACCAGTATACATGTACTTGTAACAATTAAAAACTTTAACATTTCCTTGAATTAAAGTTCCTCAATAAAATCATAAAATTTACTGCAATGATATGAACCTAACTGAACGGACGTTCTGACCATACCACCCTTGTGGAGTGATGTTCCTTTCAGGACACATCACCCCACTTTTTTCACAATAGAAAAACATCACCCCAGAGGGGAATCTTTAGAAAAAGGGATAATGGGAACACAATGCTATCACCCCACAATTCCGTCTGGCTGGAACGTCCGGACGGGCGCCCGGACAGACGGACGGAAATTGGTATTACATAGGCTCGCATCTGCTTCGCAGCTCGCCAAAAACTGGGCGCTGTTGTAGTATTCTTGAGTTATTCGTGCGAGAATTACTTTTGGGGTCCACTTTTGCGACCCCAAAAAGTCGGGCTGTCGTGCTAGTTGTGATTCCAGCTGTAAGGGTTCGCCTTTTGCGGACGTGTAAGAAATCACATTTTGTGCATTGGTGATTGGTCACCGCTATTTGTGAGCACGGTGCTGTGTATGTGTGTAATACTAGACACACACAACGTGTATCGTACATTGTACATGTATGAAAATGACGTACATTGTATCATACTCCCTCGTATTCGATGTAAACAATCAGGGGATTTTCTTTTCTTTTCTCGGGAACTGTAAGACATTAGGTTGGTTTCCTTTCAACCACGTGTTTGAAATAGGATAAGTAAACAATCCAAAACATGAAATTTTCGGTGATTTCAGGACGCAGTGCCCCTTTAGGTTAAAGGTAGAAATAAGCTGTGTAACCTTTAGATGGAACAGTTTTATATCACACACAACTCATTTAAAGCAATTCACAACATTTCATGTACCCCAGCATGCCCCATCCCAACAGAACCTTACCTGTTATATTCCATAAAAACCAGATTCCAGACTTCCAGGACATCTGAACAGGGATCATTGACTAGCTTGGAGGCATCTCGGTTACCATGACGATCATAATGAATCTCACTGCAGGGTCCACAGGGACCTATCCCTCCCATTTCCCAGAAATTGTCGGCCATTCCGGAGGGAAGAACTCGCTCTGGAGGCACACTGTCAGACCAAGTTAAACCAAACAAAAAGGACAATTTTTACATGACAATCAGAAAGCTCTGCTGCAACTCTATAAGTGTATCATTATCAAGTTTACCCTAATTTTCTTAGTACTTTTGTTAGAAATCTTCCCAAATCTGAAAAAAACTAACCTTTGTTTGGATCTAGAGTCCTGAATCTACCCAAGACCTCATATTAGGAGATTGGATTTTAAAGAATTCAAGATTTTGTATGTAGATAGAAGTAACAAGTGATCTGCCGATTGCACGTGTCGCCTTTTCTGCAGTCGCTTCCCATATGTTCTGTGTTCTTAAAAAAGTCAAATTTTGTGCCTTTTTAAACGACATAACATGACCCTAGATGACCTTTGACCTCCATTTTCTGAAGAGTTGTGATGAACCCCCACACAAGGAATGGCATACAAGTTACATTAAAATCCATATTCTGTGGACATAGAAACATTTGAAGCATATTTGAACAATGACCTCTAATGACCCCTACATCACCTTTGACCTCAGTAATCCGATGAAGAATTGTGTCTTCCTACCCAAGGGTCACTGCATCCAAGTTTCATCAAAATCCATGAAAGTTATACATTCTTTCAAAACTTTAAGATACATGAGGGTCTATGAGTCACAGGTCTATGAGTCTACGGGTCTACGGTCATACAGAATTTAGGACTGGTTAGTGTCTCCCAAAACTTTGTTTAGGTGACCTTAAGTACAATTTAACAATTTAAAGCTATTAAGACGCGCATGGAAAATATCTCAATGAGATGTAAATATACTACCCAAGTTCAATCCATATATCTCGACACTCTGTATCAGCTTGAAGGTTCAGTAACAGGTCTCCCTTGAAGTATGTGACGTACAGTTGGTCCTTGGGAATGCCATATACTCTGGTCAGTAGGTCCCACGCCATGCAACATGCTTCTCTCTGTAAGTTATTAAATTCAAGATAATAGTGATTGGCAAACAAAGTTTGTATGAAACATTGTTTATACCATTTATATTCTGAGAAGACTAATTTATTAAAGAAGGACACAGTCCCACATTTTCTTTTGAGTGTACCCCCTAAAAAAATCTGGATATCATTTGTCTGGTGGCTGCAAAAAGAAATAAAGTCATTGGTTCCTTCAGGCTAACTTGGGACACTATAAGAAGGACTTGGGTTCAACTACTGATTGCTGTTACGACATACACACAGCACTGAAACCAAAACCACTTCACAAGAACAGGGCTTTATCGGAGTGAAGTCAATTAAGTTCCAGTGCAGAGAGCAACCACTCTAATTGTGAAGAGTCTAGTGCAAATCTGGACTGAGTGTTCTGCTATTCCTCTTTGTAGATTGGTGTATTTTGTCTTGGCCATTTCAATGTGCTGCGTTACGTTATCCTGGAACAAACAAATGAGTCTGTGTCTTTGGATAGGCCAACCATTAGTGTTTGGACTAGAGTGAGTTTGGTTGACTCATATTAGTGTCCCCAGAACAACTACATTGTGTATGTACAGATCTCAATAGGGCATTCTTCAATGAGACTTTTTTGCACCTCGAAATCTCCTCAGCTCATGGTGCAAGTTTTGCAAACATCTAGCAATGTTAAAAGTTAATTTGAACCAATTTATACATTTCTTTCTAGTTTTGATGAGTTCAATTTAATGAATCTTTGGATAATTTTGTGTGAAATTTTTGAAAACCTTGGTTGTGATTCTGTTGCGAGTTTAGGAATTCTCCACAATTTTGGTTAATAAGTCTTTAATAGGGAAGTTTTCTGACCTGTAACAAATTGTTAATGTTGACAATGCCTTGATGACCTTAGCATGTAAAACAATTAAAAGACCAGAAAGCCAGGTGTTCCCTTCAAGAACAATTCCCAGCGTTCTAGTCCTTGTTTCATATTTTACCTTGAAGTAGTCACCGAATGACCAATTGCCAAGCATTTCAAAGAATGTATGGTGATGTACATCCCTTCCTACATCGTCCAAGTCATTGTGTTTACCTCCAGCCCGGATGCACTTCTGAGAATTCACAACTCGCTGGTGATTAGCACCTTCTGCATGAGGGTGGTTGGTGCCTTGAAAAATGTCCTTGAACTGGTAAAAAGGAAATAAAACAAATATTTAGAGATTTCGAGACAGTAGTATGTGTGTTCTGATGGTTAAATCTCCATCTAGATTTCTCTCTGCCGAGAAATTAGAAAGACAACTACAATTGTACTGTATTTGGTCCAACAATAAATTTGTTCATTTTATATTCTTACAAAGATTAATCTGCAACCACACAGTTTGAACTAGCAATACAAATGCTCCTGGCACAAAATATGAAACTTAATTGATCTGTTTTGTTTTTTTTATGTTTTTTTTCCCCAAGAAAGGGGGGACTTTAGATGAGGAGTCTTTGGACAGCTCATAACTAGGAACTTGGAAATATTTCCTTTTAAATGTTTCTATGGTTATGATTCCAGAGGGAATATCTTATATTAAAACCATCATGATCAAGATTCGGAAGGGGTGGAGGCACTGGCTCTTGGGATTTTGCCAAACACTCTTTTTACAGATGGAATGTTTCATATAAAAATACACAAACATTAGTTTAATATATTGAGTCACATAAGACAACTTGAATTCCAAAGAAGACAAGGCATGCAGGGTACACACAATGACTTTCAGCTAACAATCACAGATTTGTTTTGCATGACAGCCAAACCTGATTCATTCCTGCATTTGTGAAGAGCAGTGTTCGATCCTGTTGGGGTATAACAGAAGCTGAAGGCACAACAGTGTGCCCATGCTGATCCCTGAAATATTCAATGAAGGTTTGTCTGATCTCATTAGCAGACTGTACAGTCCTGGCTGGTTTGACCTCCTCATGACTGCATGTCCGTTGGGTAACTCGATGGGTTCCTGATGAGGGGGTACTCTCACTGCTTGAGAACCTTGCTAATCCATTGCAGAGATATCGTGGGGCTGGCCTATGATGCCAATGTTGGCTGCAGTACTTGCAGAACCTGAATAATAGGGGCAATGACCTCGAGAAGGTTGCCACAGGAACCATGATGGACTGCTACATGGTGAACATCATGTTGCACTGGGGAAGATAAACATAATTCATTGTTAGGAGGCAATTGTATGTTTCATTTGAATCTTCTGAAATGCCATCAACTAGAGGACTTGCAAAGCTAAAAAGCACTTTTTGTTTAGGGGTGGGGTAAAACAGGTTTGGCATATATGCATACGACACCGTCAATAATCAGTTATAACACTTTGCAGTATAACAAATATTTGAGCAACACAAACCAGAATTTTTTCTTTTTTGGCGTAAACATTTGGCACTGAGGACTGCTACAAAAACACATTTAACATCACATTTATGGTGTCACGTGACTCATGATGACTCATGATGGCGTCATGATGACGTCAACGTCAACGAGGCCTCGTGATTGGCCCGTCTGACGCCGCCCGCTATATGCGCTAGTATAAGACGGTGTCTGTCAATGTCTGTGGGTGGTACCCAGACCAAAAGACTCTGACGTCATGCCAACAACGCTTCGCTTGCACGTTAAAACTCAAACTGTAGCTTCGGTACAGAAATGGGACTGTTTTCATCATTTTTTTGCACCATTGGGATCAATTCAACTCTTATGTTTTAAGCGGAAAAAATGTTGCAATCTGCATGACCTGACGCCACTTCAGGCATTTGTCAGGGTTGTGTACAAACTACAAAGTCTATGGAGAGTCAAGAAAATTTTCTAAGTATTTCCTAACAAAATTGGAAATGTTTCCCAGTCCCAGTTTCATGTCTTATTTATCATCATTTTTGCAATGACTGACCTTCATTGAGCTGAGATGATGATAAGAAAAAAGTGGCGTCAGGTTGCAATATTTTTCCCCGATCGCCAAACACGACCGACTCCGAGTATCAGCTGATCAGAAAATGTTTTGAAAAAATCAGAAGTTTTTTCTCACCAACGAACGATGCGACACGAAGTGCACGGATGGGCGTACCTAGTTGGTTGAAGTCCGTCTGAGCTGAGCTATCGAAAAGGAGAAAGGGTGTTAGGCCTATGCCTAGGCTAGTGTGACTGACGGTCACCGCACGTACCGATTACTACTACTAGCGACAGATTTCTAAGTTTTAACCGCCGTCGCCATGTTTGTTTTCCTGGCAATGAGGGCGCTTTAGATGTAAACAAACGCACGTGTAAATTCGCTAGGGATCGTACCCCCGGCGGCGCGGCCATCTCTGTTGCTACTATCGGTGGGCGCTGCCCGCCCTAGCCCTGCAAACAGGACGCGGGGAAGGGCTGAAGAATTCACGCTCTGATTGGAAAGATTTTGCGTGACCTGTGACCTGCAAGTCATGGCCCTTGCAAGGTTTTCAACGGCCATCAAGACAGAGTCATTCATCACTCTTTTTATTCCCATTCATAAATGCCTTTTTTTTCCTTTGTAAAAAAACGTAATAATGTAGGGAAATGATCTGTAAATCTGATCTGTTTTGTAAATTTTTAACTCCCGTCCGTTGCTCATAGCAGGCTCAGCCGTTTCGAATTCACGAAGGGTCGAAATGCATATTATATGTATTCAACACTCAAAATTTGTCCGCATGGTCCGCAATGAAAAAGAAATCACATCCGGTATGGAATGTATGCATTTCTATGAAAGTTTTCGGATAGCATTTGCGCGCATAAAGCCATTGAGGAACAAAACGCCATTGAACATGAAGCTCTCCAATTTCAAGTCGAAATGCAACAACGTCAGCTAAAACTCGAACAACGAAGGAGAGCAGCGGAGCTGAAAATGAAATACGCCAGAGCCGACGCTCTGGAGAGGATCTACGCCGAGGCGCCCGGGAAGAGGCCAGTTCAAAAGTGTGCTTCAAACCAACCCAACCTACACCTTATGCAAATCCAAATGTTACACCGAAGCACCCTCTGGTAAGCGAGCCTACTCCCGTCCAATCTTGCCACTCCAACTTAAAGGGAATATACATCATTTGCTTTTGCTGTAATTTTCAGAAATGGATGGAATTGGGGGGTTGAAAATATAAAGCAAATATAGTTACACTGACTTTTTGGAGGTTTTGGGTTCGAAAATGCTATAAAAACCAAGAAAAACGATCATTTTCCTGTAGTCTGGTTCCCTGACTCCATATAAGAAGAAACAGAGCAGTTTACATAAATTGGGGAATTGTAAGGTCAGGGAACCAGTCTAGCTGGCTCGTACCCGTTCATAGGTTTGTAATCGATTGCAAACAAGTGCAATGGTCAATTGGGGCCAGTATTTGAAAAAAAGCCAGTTGTTTCCAACGCTGATCGGCCGATCAGCGTTGGAAATTGATACAAAAATACCACTTTTCTTGAAAATGACAGTATACCAGGTGCCATAATTTTACAGGATGCTTTAGACGGTCATTTACCAACATCCTATTAAGGTATTTCGCAAACACTTGGTAGTTTTATTTTTCGATGTTTGCAAATGTTGTATATTCCCTTTAATACCAACACCTTTCTCCATCTCGACTCCTGCTGCTCCAATCCAACAATACACGGTTCCACCAGCAATCCTTGGTGGAAGCTCTTCATCAGCTGCCCAAAGCTGATGCAACCTTTATGGGGACCCTCTGACATATTGGTCTTTCATTCGAGCGTTCCATAATACCGTTGACAAAGAAACGATCAGCTATGGTGGAAAACTTACCAGGCTCGAGCTCCTACGGTACTGCACTGGGAAGGTTAAACGACTACTCTAGTGCTGCACAGTCAAGGAACCATCCGAAGGTTATGCTCTGGCACTTCGTCTACTCAAGGAGAGATTTGGTGATGAGCATACCATAGCACCAGTGGCGTAGGGGGGGGGGGGGCGCTGGAACATTTCATGTGGGGGGGGGGGGGGGGGGCGTCAAGCAGGGGCGTCAATAGCTTCTCAAAAGTGGGGGGGGGGGGGGGAACATACCTTGATCATAACTGATGCAAGCGCGAAGCCCTTAACGGCGTGGGGTTCGGGGCCCGCTTAAGGGCCCCGAAAAAATTGGATTCCAGATGTTCTGTGGTGTGATTTGAAGCAATTTCTTACGACTTTCCTCCATGCTTTAACTAATATTTTCTTGGCAAAAGATAATTATTTGAACATCGTTTTCGAGGTTGGAGACATTGAATCAGCTATCGGTATTCTGAGCTATTGGCGTGGGGTTCGGGGCCCGCTTAAGGGCCCCGAAAAAAATTGGATTTTCGATGCTCTGTGGTGTGATCGGAGGCAATTTCTTACCACTTTTATCAATAATTATCTTAGCACAAAAGATAATAATTTAAACATAATTTTCGAGGTTTTCTCAGCTAAAGACATAAGAAAATTTTGTGAACATTGTTTTCGAGGTTGGAGTCATTGAATCAGCTACCAGAATTCTGAGCTATAGGCGTGGGGTTCGGGGCCCGCTAAGGGCCCCGAAATTTTTTTGATTCTAAATGCTCTGTGGTGCTATCTGAGGCAATTTCTGACCACTTTAACCAATATTTTCTAAGCAAAAGATACATTGTAGTACATAATAGGGCCCTGTAAATAAGACACGAGTTCAAAAATGGGGGGGGGGGGGACATTTGATATTGTGTCCCCCACTCTTCAAAAGGTGGGGGGGGGGGTGACGTGTACCCCTGTCCCCCCAGGATTGACGCCCATGGCGCCATGTAGATCAATGATAATTTTTTTAGAAACTCAAAATCTCAGTGGGGGGCGACTGGGGGTCGCCCCCCCCCCCCACGCCCCCCCCCCCGGTGGCTACGCCACTGCATAGCACAGGCCTGGAATGAAAAAGTAACTGACAGGCCAAACATCCATGACAATCAATTGCTCCCTGCAGGATCTCGCAGATGATTTGCGGTGCTACCGTGAAACTCTTGACACCATGGGGGTACCTTAATGAGCTCAACAAAAGAAGTAGTCTTCTGCTTATCGTAAAAAAAACCCTCAATATCACCTGAAGTCCAGCTGGCTGAAAGAAGTCCACAGAATAAAGACTTCCCAAACTAGACCTCCCAACATTGATGATGTCACAAAGTTCGTGACATAATGGCGGCCGAAGTAGCTCACGACCCAGTGTTTGGAAAGATCGTCCAAAACTAGCTCTAGTAAAGGAAATGTCAAGCAAAGGGATAAGACAATTAAGTGACCGACGGATGAATTTTGGTGTTCAAGCCACATCTTCACGAAACCTGGGTGACAAGCCCAAGTCAAGGCCGCCTTCACCTCCTCTGGACCCCTGCCCCAGCTGCGGGCAATCACATCATCTAAATCAGTGAAGGGCCGGCTTGCGTTGGTACAAAGCAAGAAGCTCTGCGTCAACTGCTACAAGCCCGACCATTTGGGCAAGGACTGTCCTCGACCCTTTGTGTGCTCCATCCATGGATGCGGCACTGAGAACAAGAAACACAACAAATATCTACACCTCCCACGCCCACAGAACGACCCGAATTCTTCAGGTGCTACTAGTACAAGTAGGCATCCAACACCGAGTGGACCATCAAACCCACCTCAAGCGCAACCGACGGTCAGCCCTATAGTTTTCTGTAATTCCACTGGGGTCGGCCCTGGAAAGGTAGCTCGTTCCCATCAAAGTCAGGGGTCGTGGGGAACAGCAGTTTGTGGAAACGTACGTATGCCCTGTTGGATACTGGCTCTTCACATAGCTTCTGCTCAGAAACCCTGACACGCCGCCTTGGAATCCCTGGTGAGACAGACACCATCAGACTCACCACACTTGACCAGAAGGAAGTTCAAGTAGACACCAGTGTCGCCCATCTTGAGGTGGCTGACCTTGCTGATACACACCTATTTTCTTTGTCTCATGTTCTGACCAGGCCCGAGTTGAATATCGGTCTTAACAGTCTCGTCGTACAAGAAGATCTTATCCGGTGGCCACACCTCCGTGATGTAGTGCTACCAGTCAACGTCGATGATGTGCACCTTCTAATCGGGCCAGATGCCCCAGATGTGATGATACCTGTACAGAGAGGTTCATGCTGGCTTGAAGGGCGAACCCTATGCCACCAAAACTGATTTGGGATGGACCCTAAATAGTCCAGTAAACCATCAGAAGAGAACCACGTCTTCATCTTCCTACTTTGTAGGAAGACGAGACCCTTCAACTTCAAGTTGAAAAATTCTGGAAGATGGACGAAGTGCAGAACCTAGAGAGTGACACCAAAATGCTGTCTGTGAGCCAAAGGAAAGTTCTTTCGATCTGGGAGAACTCACTACACCGTGATGGACCTAACTACACCATGGATATATCGTTCAAGAAAAGGTCACCACATCTGCCAGACGACAGGTCAATGGCGGAACACCGACTCAAGCTGCTGGGTATGCGTCTTTCCAGGGACCCATCACTCAAGAGAAGTACACCATTGGCATCCACGATCTTCTTGAAAAGGGATATGCAGAGCCAGTCCTCGAAAGGGACGTCCGCAGACAAGACTACGTATGGTGCCTTCCACACAATCCATCGTGTTCGACTGTGCAGCCCGGTACCAAGGTACCTCGCTCAACGACACTGTATATCAAGGACCTGCATGACCTGACGAACAAGCTCATATAGTGCGTTTCCGACAGGAACGTGTAACCGGGATGCCCTTCGCTTCCTTTGGTGGAAAGGTTATGATGTTGAAGGTCAACCACTGATGTACAGGATGACAGCCCACATATTTAGAGGAGTCTGGGGCCCTAGTTGTGCCAACTTTGCACTAAAGCGCGCCGCTCTTGACTATAACACCAAGTATGATGTAGATGTCCCATCGGGAACACTTCTCTAAGGTAATTTCTTAAATGTTATCTTGCGTATGTCTGACCCAACACTTATTTAATTAAAGAACCCGTGAAAAGTAATTTTCAATGCAAACCTTCAATACACATCTTTGTGTCACATTTAACCTTATTTTCAAGTTTTATTTTTCCATTTTGAAGGGTGTTTTTGGTGCCTTCTCCATTTTTATGCTGATGCAAAGTTCCATTTTCGTAAGAAAACCTTTGATGTCATTCCGGGCAGATCAGCAGAATTTTGGAAATTTTGCTGTCAGAAATTTCTTTTCTTTGATGATTCTTTGTTGTGTCAGTACGTGTCATTAAGTCAATGAGCAATCCTTTCTCATAAATCATTGTTTTCAATTAGCACATTTTGGCTGAATAATT